TCATTGTAAGTATATACACATACAACGAAATTCACAATGGTAATGTAATGGTAACTAAAATACTAAATCAAGGTGCGGACTACAATGAAATATATACATATATACATCAAAGGGGAGAAATACAAACAATACTGCAATGCTAACTAAAATATAAAAGGAGAAAATTATAAACAACTACAGAACTGTGTTTCTCCTAAGACACATCATAAATATTGCTGTCTCTGTATCCTGTATTCTGTAGGTTTGACTTACATTCTAGGTGTTTCTATATAGTCATCACACCTGATTTCTTTACGAATTAATTTTTCTTATATTCAATGAGATATATAATTGGATTTGTGAAATAACATTAATTCAGAAACATTTGATTTAGCATCCTTAAAAAAATACCTTTCCTCATGATAAATCCTGAGGAAAGGTATTATAATTATTCTGAGCCCTGAAAAAAAAACACAATTTTTTTAAAAAAGAAAAAATCCTTAGTGACATTTCTTGCTAACCATGATGACACGATAATCTGTACTCTGGTATTTAAAATGACCTTTACTCTTGGAGGCTTTCTAATGACTGTATTGTTCTGTAATAAATTATATCAAAGCCAGGAAGATGCAACTACAAAAAGTTTATTAACCTATGAAGTATGACAGAGGAAAGGAAAATTTAACATAAACTCTCTATACTACTAACTCACAATGAATTTCCCCCTTCTGTTTTATACAAAGTCTTTGTTCTCTCAAAAAGCCCAGGTATATATATCAGTTTTATCATATAATTAGAGATATCAGAAAACTAATCCTTTGAGGCTCAGAAACACATGATTTAGGTCCTAAAGTTTAAGATATTGTAATGCTTGCCCAAAACATAAACTTACAAGTCCATGATTCTCTAGATCAGTATAAATTCCAAGCTAGAGAAGAGTTCAAAATCTTTTCAATTCCCTCCTTGCCCTGCCCCGCCCTGCCCCCCAAATTTGGCCTTCCTACCCACATGCCCTTTTACCTTTCACTTCTTCCATTTGTGGCAAGCAAGTGGGAACACAGGATATCTCTTTCCTCTCTTCTTCTTTCCAGCACCAGATGAGGTGCTATATAGCATGTAGAGGAGAAACAGAACAGGAGAAAGTAGCTTTCCCCACTGGTGTTTTTTTTTTCTTGGAAGGACAAGCACCTCAGACGATGCCATGGACAAGAGCCGAGAGCCAACAAGACTGGCAAACAGTTAAATTTAGGGATGGAAAAGTTTTTGATTGGATTAAATAATCACAACTAAAGTAGCATATTTGCATCTCCAGAGACTTATGAGCAAAAATTCAATTTATCTCAAGAATTTGCACAAAATATTCACAAAACTGCATGACTTTTTTTTTAAAAAAATGAACAGTTGAAATATCGAGAAAATGAATTAAAAAAACAACACTTTCATCCAAGAGGGTGAGACATCAGTTAAGGAAAATGCATAAATTATATATTTGGTGAAATGCACAAATAAATGCACACATTCTGGAAAACATGAAGAAAACATGCATGAATTTCAGTGCAGGAAGAAAGAAGAAGAAGATGCTGCATACTGATACAAGAAGAAGAAGAAGAAGAAGAAGAAGAAGATTCAAGTGGGATTTGAAGAAATGCAATATGAGAAATTTTCCCTGTTGAGCCTTTGTTCAACAATGCCAGTGACACAGTCCTCCACTGCATCAAAAGGCAGATTAAAGGCAACCTTTGAAGTGGATGATGCTTTGTCCAGCACATCTCACTATCCAATATCTACTATCTGAGCCAGCCATCTCACTCTGGCTCCTTATTAGCTATTTATTTATTTAAAATATTTTTATCCTACCTTTCTTTTTGAAAAGGATCCAAGGTGGCTTACATCATTAAAAAGACAATATTAAAAGCTAAAAACAGTAAGTATATAAGTACTGAAAAAGAGTTAACCAAGTATTATATTTTAAAAGGTAAATAAAATATATCCTAAGACAAATTTTAAACAACCGAGCACAATAATTCCTTAAAACAAACAAACAAACAAACGAAAACCCTTCTCAGACCATTCGTCATTAAGGAAAAACCTGCTTGAAGAGAAAACAAATTTTAAACAACCGAGCACAATAACTCCTTAAAACAAACAAAACCTCTTCTCAGAATATTCATCATTAAGTAAAAACCTGCTTGAAGAGAAAGGTCTTTGCCTGCTTGTGGAAGGACAGCAAAGATGGGGCCAGCCTGGCCTCCCATTCCAGAGTCTGGAAGCAGAACAGAGAAGGCCCTCTCCAATGTCCCCACCAAATACACCCGTGATGGTTGTAGGGCCAAAAGAAAGGCCTCCCTAGATAATCTTAATGCTCAGGCAGGCTTATAGAGGGAGTTGTGGTCTAAATGGCTTGGACCCAGCCATTTAGGGCTTCATAAGTTAAAACTAGCACTCTGAATTGTACCCAGAAGCAGATCAGCAGCCAGTGGAGCTGCTATAACAGGGAACAGTTATATGTTCCCTGTAACCCAGCCCCAGGTAGCAATCTGGAAGTGGCATTTTAGACCCTCTGGAGTTTCTGAACACTTTCCAAAGGCAGCCCCACTTAGAACATGAGATGTAAGTACGGCATGTGTCACTGTGGCTAGATCAGACCTCTCAAATAATGGGCAAGGATGACACACTAGTTTGCAGAGGCATTCCTGGTCACCTCTGAAACCTAGGCATCCAGACGCAGAAATGAATCCAGGAGAACTCCCAAGCTGCACACCTATATTTTCAGAGGGAGTGTAACTTCATCCAGCACTGGATCTAAACCTATTCCTTGATCTGGTTTTCAACTGACCAGGAATGCCTCTGACTTGTCTGGATTAACTTTTAGATTATTCATCCTCATCCAGATGAGTACAGATTTAGAACTGAAACATCTTCCTTGGATTTAGATGGAAAAGAAAGAGTTGTGTGTCATCTGCATACTAGAGTCAATGAACCCCTAAACTCTGGACAACCTCTTCCAGAAGTTTAATGTAGATGTTGAATAGCACAGTGTATAGAACAGAATCCTGAACACCAACAGCCATGGTGTGGAACAAGAGTCCCCCAGCATCACCCTCTTGATTCTCCCCTCCAGGAAGGGCTGGGGCCACTGTAAAACAGTGCCTCCAAGTCCCATTCCAGAGAGATGACTCAGAAGGATACCATGGTCGATGGTATTGAAAGCCACTGAGAGGTCCAGCAGAACTACCAGGGACACACTTCCCCTGTCCAGTTCCCAGCATAGGTCATCCACCAAGGTGACCAAAGCTGTCTCCACCTTTATAACCAAGCCTGAAGCCAGATTGAAATGGATCTATTTAATCCATGTCATCCAGGAACCCCTGACCTGAGAAGCCTCAACCAGCTCCAGCACCTTGCTCAATAATGGGATTTTAGAGACTGGCCAGTAATTATCCTCTACTGTTGGGTTCAAGGAGGATTTTTTTTCCAGTAATGGTCTTATTACTTTCACCTATAAACATGCTGGGATCATCCACTGCTGCATGGAGGCATTCAGCTAGCCCTGTATAAAGTTCTATTGCTCTAGGGAAGATGAAGGTTTAGATCTTCTTGCAGCTGGTGCAACCTCCAGTTCATCCATCATTCCACCTGCCTGCTTACCCATGTGCTGCTCCTACCTCGGTTTCTCATCTCTGGAACAGCAGGTGGGTAAGCAGGCAAGAGGAGAGGTTGATAAGCAAGTATTAGGCTAAGCCTAATACTTGAAAGTGATCCCCTTCCCTTGTGTTTTTAAAATAATATAAGGAAAGACTAAAACATAATCACCCCCCACCCACACATTTAGTTTTGACTTCCAGCTAGTTGAGGAGGGACATCTAAATCCATCACAGAGAGAACTCTATAAAAGATTCCCATAAGTGGCAATAATGATTTGAATCCCAAATCAGTCATGCATAGAGAAACTGTATCTACAGTCATGCCCTGTAAATGCAATTGTGACATTTTATTAGTGGTTCTTTCATTCTTTGTTTCTTTTAGATGCTTTATGGTGGAGATTTTGAGGAGCATTTTATTGCTTCTGTATATCAATAGGTTATTTTCCCCCCTCCCCTATGAATAACTATGAAGCTCTTTAGGGGTATATTTATAGGACCTGTCATAATGTGCTTCTATAATAATAAACTACATTTATAGCAGTGTTAAAATTTTAAGAAAGAGAGCTTAAATACTTGAATACTTTTCTTCTTTTACTGTTCACTATGCATGTTGTAAAAGTGGACTTATATAACGTTGTGATGTGCTTAATCAAAGTACAGCTAACATCTGCCAAGTGATCTGGGCTATCAGCAGAACACTTCTGAGGTTAGCACACATAATGGTTGGCAAGCTCCATAGCAGAGCTGACTTAGTGCTCTAGGTTATTGTTTTGTTCTTACAGTTGTGCTTATTTCCAAGCTTTTCCCTGGAAGAAATAGCTAATGGCTAAAGCCGAAGCCTGCATCAGAAGGAATGTATGCTTTTTGATCCATATATCAGTTGAATACAGTGTTTTACTGGTGAACTCCCATAGCAATGTAGAGTTCTCTTCATCACACAATGTACAGCCCAGCTAAAATTTGTCCCCAATGCCCTGTAGTAGAGAGAATTCAGTAAAACCGCAAATAGGAGCTAAGGGCAATTGCAACTTTAGAGAGTGTGCCTGAGTTTTCTGCATACACATCTTCTTATTCTGTGTGCTAAAAGATAACTCATCTTGTATCTCTCATGTCCTGTCTACTGATCTGCTAATTTTGTTCCAAGCTCTGCCAGCATCCTTTTAACTTTAGACCCTCAGTATTCTCAATACTTCTAAGCTTTATGCTAGATACCTCCTGAATAGGCTTCTAGATTGGGACAACAAACCTTCTATCATCTTTGAAGAACAGGCAGGATTCAGAAAAGTACCATAGGTCAAGCCTTTGTTTTACACCATGTAATTAGTAAATACACTAAACCTCCAAACAAACATCTCTTTGTTGCCTTTGTAGACTTTTCATCAGCCTTTGACCTGATAGAGGGAGAACACCTATGGTGTAAATTGGAAAAAACAAACATTGACAAGAGACGTCTATGGCTCATACAGCAACTACATAAAAATATGAGGTAAGTGCGTATAGGCTTACAGGGAGCTCTATCACAACAGGTTTGCATTAGCCGAGGGATGAAACAAGGCTGTATTTTTGCACCTTTTCTTTTCAACTTTTATATAAACATCCTTATCCCTCAAATGGCTTCCCCCTCATGCTTCCCTCCAACCATTGGTTATAGGAAGATCTCAATACTGCTTTATGCTGATGACTTGGTTCTGCTATCTTTGAACAAAATTTGTCTTAAAAGAATGCTGTCCAAATCTGGGCAGCTCTGTAAAGAGGAACGGCTAACAATCAACTACAGTGATGCCTCGCTTGACGATGTTAATTCGTTCCAGCGAAATCACTGTAGAGCGAAAACATCGTCAAACGAAATAAAAAAACCTATTGAAATGCATTAAAACCCGGTTAATGCATTCCAATGGCTGAATACCTGCTCGTCCAGTGAAGATCTTCCATAGGGCAGCCATTTTCCAGTGACTGTATAGCAAGGAATCCATCCTAAAGCACAACAGGGAGCCATTTTGCACAGTGGGCAGCCATTTTGAAACCCAACGATCAGCTGTTTTTGATCATCGTTAAGCGAAAAATCGGTTCCCGAAGCAGGGAACTGATCACCGTAAAGCGATTTTTTCCCATTAGAACATCGTTTTGCGATCACAAAAGTGATCGCAAAACCTAATCGTCAAGTGAATTTGTCCTTTAACAAGGTAACCGTTAAGCGAGGCACCACTGTATTGTGAAGCATTGTGCAGGAACCAGAAGA